CTCTCTCATCTCATCCGATGCAAAACATAAATAATAAGCAGACCCGTCTCTCCTAATTTTCACGCAAACCTAACATAATGCCTTAACGGCGGGATGAAGGAAAACGTTGTCGTCTCGCCATTGTCGAGCATTGGGGCAGCGTTTTGGGGCAGCATTTTGGGGCAGTGTGGCCCGGAGGCACGGAGGTCGATCGCTTTCAGCCTCGTGCGCTCGCCTACGGAAAAAAACAAAAACCGAGAAATAAACAAAGAGAGAGAGAGAGAGAGAGACAGACAGAGAGAGAGAGAGAATGAAAGAAAGAACGAAAGAAAGAAAGAGGAAAGCAAGAGAGAAGAAAGAAAGAACGAAAGAAAGAAAGAGGAAAGCAAGAGAGAAAAAACGAAGCCGTAAAACGGTGCTTAGAAATATGTGTAACGGAGGGCCACGAGTGTGCGCCGAATGCCGATTTGCCGCCCGGGACGGAAAGTCGTCGCTCCGGCTCCCAGCGGCTCGCCGTTGCGTCACTCGCTAGAGCGGTCCGCATTTCATTCAGGCCTTCTCCGGTCCCGGACGAAGGTCAAGTGGCCACCTTCGGCACTTTTCCGTGGCGCGCGGCCGCAGTTACGGCTCCTCTCGCTCGCACTCTCCTAGCCCGACGAAGCATTGAGGCAGCAACGCCGTGACGCTGCCACGCGGACCCGCGGGAGCGGCGCCCCACCCGATCTACTCGGCCATTGAGCGACGAACGCCGGCAGATTCAGCCATTCATTCATGATTCCCCAGCGATTCATTCCCGGCCCGTCTTTCTCCTCACCTCTCCCCAACCACCTACCCTCTCTCCCTCTTTCTTACTCGGGCTCTCGCTCGCTCTCCTATACTCCCGCCACACTCCGTTACCCCGCACCCGCGCTCCACTCACACTAGCATCGGCTCTGTCCTCTACCACCACCTCCTCCTCCTCCTCCTCCTTCTCCTCCTCCTCCTCCTTCTACGCCTTCTTCGCCTCCTCCTTCGCCTCCTCCTACTCACCCTCCGACCCTCCTGCCCCTATGCACACCCCACCCCCCGTCCGCGCGACGGCCGTCGGGACGCACCGTTTCGTGCGAGTCGGCGAGCGATTCTTTCTTCTTGCGCTCGACCGCCGGCTTGGCCGAGGCCGCGGGAATTTCATCCGTCTCTTAGCCTGAGACGGGGAGGGGGCGACAGGGCAGGAGGCCCTGCCTACGGAAAAGGGAGCCCTCCGAAGAGCCGGGGGACTTTTTTGCCTCCCCCCCCCCTAGTCAAAGGCCACGGGGCCGCAGGTAAGTCCGGGCGTTAACGATTTCGAGCCTTCGTTTGTTCTTCCAGGCTTTCTTCATCTTGGTTTTTATATCAGCCCGATCTTGACGTCCGCTCGCGCCGACGTCCTTTCGCTCATTGCCGATGTCATTTTCACGCGGGATGTCGAGGCGAGTGACTGACTCTCCGTCCCCGATTGCCCTTTACTTTGATGGGTGAGGTGACGTGGGGTCTGCGCGTACGCTGGACAGCTCGGGATGCTGATTGTTTGTCAAAAGCCCCGGGGTCTGTTTTAAAGTGCGACGCTGTCTCTGACGTTTCAATCAGGCGATATCCGAGGTGGCACGGGATAAGTTCGCGATAACTTCCATTCGGTTTACCG